TCAAAGAGCTGATTGGCTCTTAGATTTTCTTTAGTGGAAAAGGTGGGTGACCGTGGCTCACTGGGTTAAGAGGGTTGTCTGGTGACCACAACATCGGCTGTTCAAGCTTTGGCCTTTGATGAGTCATGTGTCGGCTGTCAAAGACATCCCACTGCTCCCCATATATAGGGATGGTCAAATGCACAGACAAATGTATCCTTAATTAACAGGATAAATATAGTATAAACAAATTTAAATCCTAATTTTCTGTCTCATTGTAATACTTAACGCTAGATTGTTGGCTATTAGTCTCATTTTGTGCAATAATAATATATAAGGTTATTTATTTAGCATCTGTAAATAAAGATATTTATTGAGAGAGCCTACATCCTACTTGATGTCAACATGTTTTCAGTCAGAGCACTGAATGTGTCCATCGATTAATGATTGTGAAGCATCACAAAACGTATTAATAGAAAAGCACAATTGTCACTGATGGGAACTTGCAGCGCTGCTTTTCCTCCGTGTGGAGCCTGTTTATGTAGCTGTGATGTTTGGACTGTTGGTTCAGTTTTTAAATTTCTTAAATTTACGGTTGTATGATTTAGAAATGACGCTATCATCACATATATTTATTTATAGAAATGTTTAAATAAATATGACATCCAAGAACTAAAATATGCCCAATCTTATATCCTCAATTATAATAATAACATAGTTAAATATATGAAAAGACATCCAAACTTAAAGACCAGCAATTTTGGGGTTAAGTGTCTTGCTCAAGGACACATCAACATGCTCCTAACGGAGTCGGGGATCGAACCGATGATCCTCTGATTGAAGGACGGCCCTGCACTCCACTTAGCCACAGTCACCCAAGATCAGTTCTAGACTACGGCTGTGTGGAATATAGGTCGGCGTCTAAAACCTTGTTGGGAAAACTAGATGTAATACAAGCGTCAAGAATATGTAGCGGGGTCTTTAAAACAACATCTGTGCCGGCATTGCAGGTAGAAATGGGGAAATGCTGTTGGAGTTGAGAAGAATCCAGATCATGACGACATATTGGGTCAGTTTACAAGGACATAACAACCATCCAACAATAAGTGCAATTGAGCCATGCTGGGAACATGACAACAGGCCAACAAAGAGCTCTGGTTGGGTTGTTCAGAAGAAGGCTAGTGAATTAGGTTATAGGAGTTATTCTCCAGCTGTGGTCCAGCTGTTCCTCTTTGGTTACTGCCACAGCCTGGAATTGATCTTGGCCTCCTTGAACTGATGAGAGATGAACGTGGGGGAAACTGTAAGATCTTCAAGTCATACATCAGTTACCACAATTAAATACAGATTTATGGATCTAAAGACCCTAAAACTGGTAGAACAGCAGCAGCAGCAGTGATCCCAGAATTCCATTATGAGTGTGGGAAGAGACTCAGTGATGATGCATCTGTGTTTGCATGTGAGATGATGGCCATAGAGTTATTGCGTTACAGTGGGTAGAGGACGTCAGGCCAGAGAGAGAGGTGATTGCATCAGACTCATGTGCAGTGCTAACGAGTTTGACATGTTGCCACTCCAGAAGCAGAGAGGATCTACTGTTTGAAATACTACAATCATTTTTAAGAATCCATCAAATGCGGATAGCGGTTCATTTAGTGTGGGTCCATGTTGGAGTCGATGGATGAGAAGGCGGATAAAGCAGCAAAAAGGTCTTTGAAGAGAGGGAGAAATAACGTTAATGTAAATATAAGTAAGTCAGAAGCTAAAGTGGTGATTAAGGGACAAATCAAAAAGATATGTCAGAACGAATAAAGGGAGTAAAGGAAGATATCTGTTTAAAGAGGAACCATTGGTTGGGAGCAGGATCTAGTGGACGAACTAGAAAAGAGGAGACGATTATGACGAGACTAAGGAACGGCCATACTGGTCTGAACAGTTCCCTCGATGTTATTAGAAAGCATAATAATGGAAAGTGTACATTTTGTGGAGAAGAAGAAACCGTGGACCATGTTTCATTGTCCTGTCAGAGGTACGAGTCAGCGAGAGAAGTTTTGAAAAAAGGTCTAAGAGAGATTGGAGAGGAAAGCTTGAGTGACAAATGTTGGAAACTTTTTCTGGAATATTTAGTCAACAACACTAATGAATAGAATTTGAGAAAGAAATGTATTATTATTTATTTTTTCTATTTATATATATTTATATATATATATATATTTATTTATTTACACACATATGTGTGTGCATATACAGTATGTATATGTATTTATTTTCGTGTGGTTGTCGTATTAGAGTTCTTAGTCCACACTCCAGATTAGTGGGAGGCGGTAATGCACCCGAAAGCTGTTTGCCAACCGCCAAACAAAGCAAAAGAAGAAGAAGAAGCAGGCGGCTGAAAACGGTCCGACTTGAACGCAGTTTTTTGTCAACGCCCCTTTCTACGTCTGCCTGCTCTCCTCTGCTTTCCAGGCGAGGCGCAGTTCAACTCGAACGAGCCTATTGGTCCAGCTCTAACATGAGCTGGTGGATCTGATTGGTCCAGCTCTAACATGAGCTGGTGGATCTGATTGGTCCAGCTCTAACATGAGCTGGTGGATCTGATTGGACCAGCTCTAACATGAGCTGGTGGATCTGATTGGACCAGCTCTAACATGAGCTGGTGGAYCTKATTGGWCCAGCTCTAACATGAGCTGATGGATCTGATTGGACCAGCTCTAACACGAGCTGGTGGATCTGATTGGACCAGCTCTAACATGAGCTGGTGGATCTGATTGGTTCTCATGTAAAATGTTTCAGTTCCAGTTGGTGACCAGCAGAGAGCGCTCTTCATCATGTTAATATTCAGTGTTTGATGATGATGATGAAGATGTGATACTAAGGTTACATCTTTATAGATGAAATGTATTGATTTTAATAAATGTTTCATCGTGGTTTTTTTATAATTTAACTGATAAAGATGAATATTAACTTCATATTCCTACAATTATCATGAAAACTGGAGTTTTAAGTACTGTAAAATATATAGTACCTCCAAACTGTACTCCAGCACAGTGCTAGTACCTCCAAACT